GAAAGTTTTTAGCCATGATGGTGTAGTGGCACTTGCAAGTATCTACCGTGGCACTAGTATCTACCGTGACAAGGGTATAAATAGCACCTGTTCAAAATGCCACAACACTAAAAATGTCATTAAACCAATAGTTTTGTGGCACTTTCAAATGTCACTAAACTAAGAAAATGTTGTAGTGACATATATATAACTACTAGTTGGCTAGCTCTTTGACCACAAAATCTCTTCCAAGGGGGATGGTCTTGGGTTCCATTCTTATGAGTGGAATGAGAGGGTAAGATTTTCTTGCAAAGTGTATGGGTGTGAGTTTCAACTCCCCCAAGATGCTAATCTAACAATTAACCACTGACTTTCGTCGATTAAAAAACAAATTGCATAAGATTTTTCATCTATATAATACAAATTAATTTTACATAATATTTATATATATAACTATTAATTTGCAACAAATTTTACATATTAAATCTTTTTCACACTCATTTTTACTTTGATATTTCATTAGAAGTTAAAAAAAATATATGTATTAACTATAGCAGAGCAGAAGCGATTTCGAAGGAGAATTATAAATTTCAAAGCTTAATCCGCAGTTAGTGGATGGAATCGACGGGGATTAGTGTGGAGTGGGCGGTTTTAACGATGAGCGATATTTTACACAATTCTACCCATAATCACCAACCATCTGGCAAACAATCATTGTTACTCTTTCTCCTCTTTCTTCCTCACGCAACCACCAAAAATCCCCAACCATGCGTAGCACAACAAATACTCTCTAGCTTAACCCTCCTCTTGCCCTAAACTACTACCACCACCACCATCACCATTTAACCATCCCTTCACCTCCACCACTTTTCAAGCTCACTCTTTCTTCACTCTATAACCACCATCCAAACCATTACCAAAACCTACTTCATCTGCCACCTCCACTTCTACCATCGAAACTTACTTCTTTTGCTAAACCAACTACCACTATATGCCTTGCCACCGAAAACCACCCCGTTTGCCACTCACACCATTGAAATCGATCACTTCCACCTTCCCTATTATTGCCATCCAAAAACCACCACTAAAACTCATCCATTCTATCATTGAAATCCATCCATATTACCACAATCCAAACCTAACTTCTACACCACTACAAAACTAAATATATCAATTCAAAACAAATAATGAATCAAAACCCTAAAATTAAAAGTCTATATATATACAGAAAATAATATACAAATTCACTTTTTAGATTCACTTTGTAGACCTAATGATGTATAATTAAAATAATTGGTTGACGAGTAAAGAATAAGTGTGTGTGTGTGTGTGTGTGTGAGAGAGAGAGAGAGAGTTAAGTTAGATATTTTAATAGAGTGTCACATTATTGGGTCTAGAAAGAGGATCCAATGTTTAGTTATAAATACTACTCTTAGAAAGGTCAAAGCAAAATTATATAAAATTTTAATTTTAAATATATACTCCCCCATCCTATTTTGATAGTCATTTTTGAAAATTTTAACTTTGTTAGGGGACATATAATTATTACATTTGAATTCAAATTTTAGAGTGTTTATTCCAATAATGGCCTTCTCTTTTTTATTTTTTTTATTTTTAACATACTTCTAGCCATTTAGTGTTTGTTTGTCAATTACACATTTTAGCCAAAAAATCACTATAAGTTGTCATATCATCCTCTCTACTTTTCTGCACATTTTTTTCCATAAAAAGTCAAAAAAATTATTAAAATAGTATATTCCCAAACGAGGCCTTAAAAAGGGTAATTTTGAAAAACTGGGTGTGTTTGGTAACATTTACGTTTTCAGTTTATATTTACAAAAAATTTATAAACTGATTTTTGTTTATTTTTTGTTTATTTTTAGAAAAACATAAACTACAAATGCGTTTGGTAATTGACAAAATGTTTAAAAAAATTTAAAAATATAAAAAAGAGTGAGAAATGGCAAGTGGTGGCGGAAGACGATGGTGGAAAGTTGGTGACATAGTGGTGGTGGGGGGTGGGTTGGTGTGACTCGGTGGCGGGTGTGGTGAAGTAGCGATTGGGTTAGTGCGTCGGTGGCAGGTGGGTGGCGGTGGTGGGTGGGTGGATGGGTGGCGTGATTGTGGATGACGGGGTGTGGTGTGGGGTAGACTTAGCGATCTGCTGTGTGTGGCTAGTGGCGGCTGGTTGGCAGGTGATGGTGGCGGTGATGCGGGTGGTGGTGGTGGTGGGTGGTGTGAAGGTGACGGTGGCGCAGGATCGGTAGGTGTAGCGAGTAGATTGTGGTTGGTGGGTGGTGCGTCGGTTTTGGTGGTTAAGTTGCGGCTGGCGGGGTACGGTGGTGCGGTGATCGGTAAATGTGAATGTGGTATGTGGCGCGGTGGTGGCGGGTGGCTGTGTTGGTAGCGTGTTGATTGTAGCCCATGCTGTGTGCTAGGATACGAGTGGCCAAGAAGTTGTGGTGAGGCTCATGTGTTGCGTGTAGATTGGCGTGCTAGTTAGTCAAATTAAATGGTGTATTACAGCGTAGTGGTGGTGGCCCGGCGTGGATTAGTGAGTGCACGGCGGTGAGTCGGGTGCGCAGTGCGGCGCTCAGATATAGAAGTGATGATGTGCACTGCTCATCGCGGCTAGCTCTCTCTGTTAAGGTACGTCTAAGGTGGCTACAGATGACCATTATACCTGAACAGGCTCGCGCTGAGCTGGCGCATGGGGTCTCGGTTGGGCCATACGTGTTGAGACAGGTATGTAGTAGTGATAACAGGTGCTGCGTGCAGGTGGCACCGCGTCGTGTGGTGAAGTAGTAGGTAACAGGTGGTGGTGCGGGGTCGCACTGGTGGTGTAAACAGAAGACGGTGGTGGAAAATGCGATGGCAGATGGTGGCGGGTGGTAAGAAATTAAAAAAAAAAAGACTCAAAACTCAAAATGGAAACACATTTTTTGTGTTTTCATTTTTTGGCCAAATTTATAAACTGAGACCACTGATTTATAAATCAAAAATTTTACCAAACAAGTTTTTATTTGAGTTTTTAAAATTTTTGTAAATGTAAACAAAAAACTAAAAACGTAAATGTTACCAAACGGATGTTTTTTACTTTGACTTTTCAAACAGGACTAACATTTTGAGACATTCTAAAATGGGAAAAAAGAACTAACAAAATGGGATAGAGAGACTACACTTTTAAGGGTTTAACTTCTTTCAAGTTTGTCATCTCAACTTAAGAGAGCGTTTTGACTTGGTAACTCATTTTGTGATCGATTTTGGAAAAATTTATTTTTTAAAACTTGTTGAGTAAAATATCCATGCAAAATAAATATAATTCAAACATATTTATTTCAAAAAATAGATGGTTATTCTTAAAATTATATTTGCCATTCATTTTTTAAAAAAATAAATATGATTCAAATATATAGTTATCAATATATAATTATCTTAATTTTTTTATACAAATATCTTATTCAATAAATTCAAAAACGTAAACAATTTGGAATATCAAAATTGACTCCAAAGTGAGTCTACCAAACTCAAAAAATTGCTCAAGTTAGCATAAGACCAGGTTTTGTGAAGTTGAGGGGCATGGTCTCTACCCATGTGTCTGCCACTGTCCCTGAGGCATGTCAGGTCCGTGGGACACGTGCCTCCTCAATTTTTCAAAAATTAGCCTTTGTCTCTTATAAAAAAATTATTTTAACTTCAATCTTTTAAGTAATGTTGTAAAATTTGTATATCACTATTTTTTTCCTTTTTTAAATATACATATATATTTAGTTTATCACTCTAAATATTTAATTATGTTAAAAATTTTTGATGAATTTTATATTAGAGAAATATTATATATCACAGATTTTCTATTACCTAATAGTTATAATTAGGTCATTTGTTTATAAATAATTATTACATAATTAATAACATATTATCATGTGATTCAGTGATTCAAAGCGGTGAAAAAAACAAATGATATATAACAACCCCTATATATTATTTATTCATCATTTCTTTTATTTCTTCCTCTATCCCTCTCTAAATCCCTTTTCTGTGTGCATCTTTATATAATTTAATTGCTTAACTTGAGTTTATATTTAAATATAATTTTCGCATCACACTAATTTTTAATTTTGCCATCAAATAAAAATTAAGTTAAATTAGATTATAAATTTTGTTAAGATTTTAATTCAGTGGCGCCCTTCTGAGTTAAAATCTTGATTTCGCCACCAGCCATTGTTTGTGTATGATTGTAGGTATGGTTTTGGACAATGAATAAAGATGCTAACAAGGGAAATGTCTCGGTGGATAATGCACATCGTACGTAATCCTAACATAAAATTGCATAAATTTTTAGGAATTTATATATATAATCTCACAAAAATGTATAAATTAAACACAAATTCATTTAAATTTGTAAAAATTTACGTAATTTTATTTTATAATTACATGCGATGTGCATTGCATACCGAAAATTTTTCCTATTAACACATTCATTTTCACTCGAAGATATACCTGTAGTGACAGGTAAAACTACGTGTGATTGTAGCATTGTTGATTGCATGAAGTTGGGTAACATTTTTCCTTACTAATTTGGATTGAAAGTTGTTTTAAAGAAAGAAACAGGGGGTGTAATGTCTAAAACGCCTCTATGTAGTGGCCACGTGGTTATTTCATCGTCAAATCCGTAACCATTGTCATCTATTGGATTAAAAAAGCACAAACTGTAAAATTAAAATACAAATATGTCAAAATTAAAATTATATGAATTAAATTGACATAAATAAATTATTTTTAAATAGTTACTGTAATTTACCCAAAGGAAAAACTAAGGGTAAGCAATCGTTATCTGTAAGTAGTGATATAAAAAGAAAAAAAATTAACAAAATATCACATTCGAATCATCTCATTTCTGTATTCATTTTCTCGCCTATATACACAAATGAGAATTAATGAAGAATCCATTGCCGTATGTCTAAAAAATGAAAAAAAATAATAATAAAATAGAGTAAGAAATAGCATTACTCCAAGATATATTATACACTGAGAAAATGGCAACAAGATAGAATTAATAAGTATAGTTTGTGTACATATGGAAAATAATGGTACCCTCATGAGCCCTATACATAACATAGTAAAATTAAACTCTAACTATTTAATTTTCCTAAAATTTTAAGGTTGTAAAAACAATTAGAGTTCATAGCACAATGAGTTTTTAGTTTTAGATTTTTTTTTTTTTTTAAAATCATTTTTAGGTGACACGAACTCCTTGGTATCTAAGAATTTCACCAATAAGTTCACCTTTACCAGAACCAACATACCTTCCACAAATCTCACCCTCTTTTATGAACAAGAAAGTTGGAACCTCAATCACCTCCATGTCCTTCACGAATGCCATGCAACTCTCATTCTCATCGCCGTTCATCCGAGCGAAAACCACCGTGTCGGTCATTTGCTTTGACAGCTTCACCACCGTCGGATACACCTTCACGCACGGCCCACAATGCTTCAGACCCACGTCAAGAACTACCAACTTGTCGTCACTCTTGTGATCTGCAATCAACTTCTCCACATCCTCCCTGCAATTAGGGGTACATGTAGTGATAAAAAAACAGGGTAAATTATAGGTAGTGGCTTCGCTCAAGTGTAAAATCGGACTCAATATTGCTATTGAGCTTTTGTGGACCCATTACAGAACTTACATCGATAATTCAAATTATTTAATATGTAATGTTTACTGAGTATTTTATTCTTGTAAAAAATCATGTTGATCAGATATCATAACCACTTAATTAGATCTCATTTATGTCAAACATTTATGTCATAACCATATATTTGATCTGATCATGTGATATCGATATCCGATCAACATAATTTGTTACAGGAATGAAGTACTTAATGAATCCTATATATTGAACGATTTGAATTATCAACAAGAACCCAAAATGAGTCCCAAATGGGCCGAATTGGACTGTCTAATTAGAATACCCAACTGGAAACGGCCTATGTCCTAAACTATATTCGTGGCTCTTTGTAATTTAATTTTTGTGTTAATTTGGTGGTTATATTTCTAATTGTATCAATTTTACTTATTAATGTTTTACATTATGTCAATTGAGCATAATTGATAAGAAATTTATTAGATATCAAAAGCAAAATATTCTATTCAAAAGGGAATGAGTCATCTTGGATTGGATCTCAACTTCTCAACCACTTAAAAGAGAGTAAACGGCTTATTTTGTCTCTCAAATTACGCTTTGAAAATTCAACAGTAAAATTCATTCAATTATAACTTTAAGGACCAAATTTTTACAATAGGTAAATTATAAGAATTATGAGTGTAATTTGTTTTAAAAAATTTTAAATAAGGATTTTTTTTTATATATATTTTAAAATTCACATTTAGTTATAATATATAACAACTATAAGACAATCTATTAGTTAAAATGACATATATTAGAGGTGTTCAATACTCTTTTATGTTATTAAAGCAGTAAGGATTTTCTGTTCTCAAATAACCCTATCCTCTGTTCCAAATCACTCACAACCATTGGATTTCAAGATGTCAAAATCTCAAGAAATATTCAATAATTGTAAGTAATTTAGGACAGAGGGATAAAATTATTTAGGAATAGAAGATCCTTGGGCTTATTAAAGGCATATAAGATAGAATAAGTATCAAATTTATAGACAATATCTTTTTGCAATAAATATTATGAACTAATTTGTTAACTTCTTTAGTTGTTGTTGTTTTTTTTTGTTTTGCTTCTCTCTTCTTTTTTTTTTTTTTTTTTTTTTTTTTTTTTTTTTTTTTTTTTGTGAAATTTTCCCGTCCTCCGAGAGTGTCTGCTCAAATGGTAAGGAACTAAATACTTTCATGATTCAAAAAAGAAGAAACATGATAGAGAAATCACAAAACACCCATAAACAAGCACACAGCACAACCATGTGATATTCTAAACCTATCTGACAATTTCTAATAAATTAGGCTTGTAGTCGAAACTATCGTACGAGAAACCAACATCTTGTTCAATTTTTTATTTTCTATTTTGAACTTTATGCTTTATAGATGTAGATGCTTGACCATTTAATTTTTATTTTTTATTTTTTTTAATCTTAAGGGATGGCACTTCAATTTTCTTTTACAAAAATTAAATAAATTTTTTTTTAGGCATTTTATCGAAACCTTTTGAGTTTATATTTTGACCCTTGCCACTTCAATTTTTTTTAAAAAAATCTATAAAAATAGTTAATAGCTAATAAGAAATTTATTGAAATAGAAGGGCCACTTGCCCTCTCGGTGAATCCTTGCCTGCAATGCAGCTGCACCACAGCAGAATGGTTATCCCCATAGTACAACACATCTCCAACAAGCTGATCAGGTCCAATCCCTTCCTCTTCATGAATCTTCTCCATGCTCTTGTAAAAGCTGAAATGTGGGACTTTATCAATCTTCTCTCTCTTGCAAAGCTCTCTAGTCTCTTCAGACTCATCACCCATCACCAGCAAGAACTCCACATCACTGCAAGTCCTACTCAAGTCCACCATGAAAGGGTATATCTTGCTGCTCTGCTTGCTGTGACTAGCTGCGTACTCCACAACAACCAGCTTGTTTTTCGCCATTCGAAGCGCTTCATCGAACTGGCCTATGCTGTGGACTTGCTGTACTCTTTCGTCGCTGGTGGGTTTGTTTTTCTTTTCTGTTTTGGAGGCTGCTGTGGCCTTTGTGATGAAGAGGGTAGGGATTTTTTGGAGCTTTGTTGAAGGGTGTTTTGGTTTTGGGAAGAAAGAGAGATGGTAAGAAGATGAATGAGGATTGAAAGGGTTGGCTTTGATGAGGGAGGCTAGGTTTGGAGGTGGTTTGGATAGGAAGTTTGTGATGGTAGCCATGGGAGAGAGAGAGAGAGAGAGAGGAGAAGATGGAGGGTTGGTTTGGAGATGAAAATAATTCAGAGATGATAAGAGTGGAAAGAATTTTGGAGAGATCTGAAAGATGAGAGATGATATCCACTCATTAGATATGTGGTCTATATTATCCCCATATAGGGCTATTTTATGTTGATTTTTTTATAAAATTCATTTTCATTTCATTATCATTAAAATTAAAATGTGAGTAATTTAATTCTATCTACCTGCCCACCACAAATATATATATATATATATATATACTGAGAGGGTGATTTATGATCCGGTGTTGGGCCGAGGTATAGACCGAGCAACTTGAGGGCCCAGCCGGAATATTTGCTCCCCGTACATATACTAATATATATTCGTGCTTAAAGGCACGATATAAATAATATTGATCAGTTTTTTTGACTCACTCTCTCTTTTTAATTAGAGACGTGTCTTTAATATAAATAAAAAAATATATTGAAAAAAAAACTCTATAATTATTTATTTAGATTAAAAAAACACCTTTTTTATTAGATTAAACATAAGGGATTTTTTTTTAAGGCCCACGGTATTAAGATTTTATAGCATAAAGGATACTAAATATTTTCATAATGTCTAAGGTCCCTCAATTTGATCCAGAGAAATTTCATCCAGAGAATTTCTTTGAACTTCCCAGAGAAATTTCTGCCCAGAATTTCTCTGGACCTCTGAAAAGATTTCTCTCCAGAGAACTAGAATATCTTTGGGAGGTTTCTCTATTTCTCTAGACCTTCCAGAGAATTTTTCAGAGAAAATTCACATAGAAAATGCTAAATTTCTCTGGACAACAATGAGGACTAGTGCTTTGCTTCACAGAAAATTGTGTAAAAAAAAATACACCTCGATATGCACATGTGAACAATTATAAACCTTTAAATTTAAATTTAGGTATAAAAATGCACTGTGCTTCACATAGTATGCATGATTCCTTCATTTCAATATAGTTAATCCATAGCAAATGAACATAGTAATGATCAATTAGAGATACTTACTGGACAATAGCTCTTCTTGCTTTCCATAATTATTCCTGACCTATGACTCCTACAACATCATATGGGGATATATCCACACCTGATATAGATTCCACAATGGAGTTGTCTGATATATTGCAATTTATGTCTACCTTTTCCACTTGTAAAGCCCCATACTGATCTTCATGGCAATTGATGACATTTTCAAGTCTACTGGGACTTCCATGATTGACATTTTCAATTCTGTAGTTTGGATTGAATTTTCTCTGGGTTAGTCCAGAGAAATTCTCTGGTTTAGACTGAATTTTTTATGGGTTGATCCAGAGAAATTCTCTGGTTAATTTCTCTGACCTTCCCTAAACCTCCCACTGAAAATTTCAATACACAACTTGGATCACGGTAAGCAAAACAAACCGCCAAGATCTTCAGTGACAAAACTCAGAATTACACTTTTGTCATTCACATTGAAAATGCTTAACAAGATAACCCTCTTACTTTGGCTAATCAAGAACTACACTTCTGTAATTGGAGCAACCATTTAAATAAAATTTAAACAACAGTACCAGCCTTAAATTGAGAGAGCGAGAGAGAAAGAGAAAGAGAGAGAAAGAGTTTCATAGCTAATTTTATCTTTCAATACAACTGGTTCTTGCTAATTTTCTCTAGGTTGGTCCAGAGAAATTCTCTGGTTAATTTCTCTGACCTTCCCTAAACCTCCCACTGTAAATTTCTCTAGCTTTCCCTTCTCTCCAGAGAAATTTTTTTCTCTTGCCTTCCTTATACTTTCCACTCTTCAGAGAAATTTTGGAAATTAATTTCTCTAGCGGCTGTAGACACCTTATTTTTGACCGCCCTTAAGACTTGGGCGCTACTGATGGTTTATTTGGTGATGAAAGATGTGCAGGGCAAAGGTTCGATTTCTTCGGCAAGAGGGGAGTCAAATCCTAACCTCACACCCTACTTTTGGACTAAAATGATCTTGATCAAAAGATTTTGAGACCTTGAAATCTTCTCTTTCAAAATACTTTTGAAAATAAAGTTCCTACGATGTTCAGAGGCTCGCATTTCATGAAATGTTGCGCTTTTCGATAAACCGAGCGAGGACAAAGTGGAAATGAATGAAAGAGAGATGAAATCATTGAAAAATCTTTCAAAACACCTTGTTTAGGGGTTCGGAGTTGAAGAAAAGAGGAAGGGAGAGAAGAAAACTAGTTTGGAAGAAGTTCGGCATAAATTCGGGTAGGATCGAAACTACGCAGCTTCACTAAAATAGGCATACCTTTTTACACAGTTGGAATTTTGGTGTAAGGCTTCCACCATTGGAAAGCTTACTTCTGGGGCTTCAATTTGGACATAATATTGATCTGAAAATGAGTCCAGATGAAGGAGTTATGGCCATTTGAAGTTGGACCTGGAAAGCAGAATTTTGCCTGCCGACCAAGAAAACTAGCTGGCCGACCAGAAAAGTGGTCGGCCGACCAAAAAAGTGGTCTGCAAGTCCCAAGCTCATATTTTTTGAAGCTCTTTTCCCTCCAGCTGTTGTGCATTGCTCCAGATATTTCCAAACTTGGATATTTCGAACCAAAGCTCTAGTCTTTCTATATATGGAGCCATATCACATATATTGAAGAAGAAGAACATTTTAAGGAATTGTGGGAGCTTCTCACACTAAAATCTCTCTCTCTCTCTCTCTCTACAAATTTCAGAGCTAAAGTTCAGCTTTTCTCTCTGGCTTGCTCTCCCTCTTGCCCTTGTGTACATGCAAGAGATATACTTGGAGATATACCTCTTCTTTGTATACACTTCCTTAACCAAACTTGACCACCATTGGGCTGAGATTCTTTGGGACTTTGTTTGAGCTCCAAAGAGTGATTTGAGCTCAGATTTGTCTTGTTTTGCTGCTGTCCTTCAAGGTGCTTCAAGGGTAAGTACTTATCCCTTTAAACCTTTGCTTTGCATGCTTGTTTTACCACCTTTCAAACTATTTTTGGCTTGGTTTTGAACCGAAGAAAACTCTGTTTTTCAGTCCTAAAAATGATGGTTTAGGCCTTGTTTGGCTATAGGGTGTTTCCTCCCTTTTGCTCCTTGGCATGTAAGGCCTTTTGAGCTAACTTCCAAGCTTTTCAAACAACTTCTTTTTGGCCTTAAAACCACTGAATTCCAAAGAAATTTTAGTGGTAAAAAACTTGTTTTGGGGCCCCAAATAGGAGGGGGTTGTCCTCTCTCCTCTTCTCTGGTTTACTTGTGTTGATGGCCCATCAAAAGAGCATGTATTTCTCCTTCTTTTAAGCTTAGTTCAAACACTTTTTTGTGACTTTTAGGACCTTCCATAACTCTGTTTTAGGCTGATTTGGTCACCTCTTGCATGCTTTATACACTTGTAGTGTAAAATTGCACACTAGCCTAACATGCATCATGCTTTAGACCATCATTCTAGTGTGATTTTGGCTCAACTCCAAGAAGATTTTACTCATGTTTTACCATGATCTAGGCCTGATTTATGTTGTTTTGGTCATGCATGCCTTACTTTGTATAGCCATAATGCATTCTAGCTCATTAGTCTTGAGTTTGGAGTCCACTAGTATGCATTACTTGGGCCATTTGTATGATTTGACATCATTTGATATGTGATTTCAGTACATGTAGTGTGGCCATACACTCACATCTTTCACTCTTTCAATGTTTTGGAGGGTTGGTGCTTTATGCTTTAAAAATGAGCCATTGTGTATGCCATCTTGCCTAGGCTTTTGGGCCACCATTTCAGTGTGTTTGGGGTCTTATTTTGCCATGTCACTACTCTATTTTTGATTGGTTAGAGCATCCCTCATTTTCTTCTTACACTTGTAGTGTAAGTCTTCTTTACTAGCCTTGCATGCCTAATGAGTGAGTTTGTTATTCTAGCATGTATTGACGTGGTATTAGCCCATTTTTGGTGTTATTTTGACATGCCATGACTCTGATTTTTGTTAGTGAAGCCATCTCATGCTTGGTTTTGGTAGGTGTAGTGTAATCCTCCTTATTGGTCTTGCATACTCCATGCCTCATGGCCTTCATGCTATCTTATTTTGGCTATACTTCGTACATGTTTTAGTATTATTTTGACATGCTCTAGGACTGTTTTAGGTTGCCTTGGCCATATGCTTCATGTATTGCATAGCTATAGTGCAAGTGCCTATGTTAGTTTCAAGCTTTGAGCCTTCTAACATGCTTCATTTGTGACATGTACATGATTTGGCATCATTTACCATGTTGTTTCAGAGCATATAGTATTGCCATGCTTCCACTTCTTTCACTCTTTGAGTGCCTTTAAAGGTTGTGCATTATTGCCCTGTTTGTGGCCTAGCTTGTATGCATGCATGCCTTGCCTTTTGAGCTCCCGTCTCAGCATGTTTTGGTCTTGGTTTTGACCTATTTGAGCTCTGTTTATGGCTGGTTCATCCATTTGCGCCATGCATTGCATGCCTCTTGTGTAGTCACATTTACTAGCTTTCACGCTTAAGGATTCTTGCATGCCATACTTGAGATGTTTGCTTGCCATCACATCATTTCACATGATATTTTAGTGCATATAGTGTGGCTACACTCTTACATTTGTCACTCCTTGATCATGCTTGAGAGTTGTCCTCTTAGGCCTAATTGATGAGCTATTGCATGTGCATGCTTGAGAGTTGTCCTCTTAGGCCTTATCAAGTCGCATTCACATGACATCTTAGAATAGCCGAGCCTATCTTAGTTGCATTTTTGCATGTGTTGCATTAGGCATTGTTGGCATAGCTAGGATCATGCATTGATTTCTAACATAGCTTTTGTTTTGGCTCGGAGTACTAGGTAAGCTTTTGCGCTTTAGCATTCTTGCATGTGTGTAAGTGACTGCCATGATAGCATGCTTGCCATGAGGCTAACTGCTTATGTGTTTAACTGCATGAATGTCTGTGGATGAAGGCTTCATTACTTGAATTGGGACAATTCATCAAAATATGAGTTTTAAGCCCACTTGAGAGTGACAAATCATGTTTTTCTAAGCCCACTTGAGGGTGGCAAATC